GGTAGTAGCCAGGTGGCATTGGCTGGTAGATGGAACCCGGAGGAGGCCGACCCTGTGTGATCTCATGGGTCTTTGGGAGGTAATTGGATGATAATGGAGTCCAGCATCTTTGTATTACTTTCGTATGTATGCTTATGTTTTTAATGCTTAGGTAGTGTAAATTAGCAGAATGAATGAATGAATGAATGAATGAATGAATGAATGAATGAATGAATGCTACCATAGCTAGGATGAAAAATCTAGAAAACCACTAGATGGCAGTAAAGGGTTTCTGCATCTCTTCCCTGCTTTCTAGTGGTCATCTGGAGCTTTTCAGTTCAGGTATAGTAACCATAAGAAAAGGGTAAGATTGAATGAATTCCCTTCCCTTGATGCTTTGTATACATAGTTGCACGAGAGAGAAAAGGGCTCCTATTTATACTACTTTCATTTTTTGGAAGCCATAAAGCGGCTTATTCTCCTTTTATGATGCCACAGAGATGGCAGTATACAACTTGTTATTTTGATTATTATTTCCTGTTCTAACTTTGGTTTCCTTAAAATTTGGGAGTAATTGACTCCTTGTTTCAAAATTGTTAGGTTGCTTATGCATCAACATTTTAATGTACTTTCTCAAACTCTGGGGATGATTCTCTTAAACTTTCTTTTTCTCCTTGTCTTTTTAAAATAGAAGCTCACACTTAGGAATAGGAAAGGATTTGGTGAAGTCTTTATTACTTAATTTTGTCACGGGAGATGCAGCCATAGTGCAGATTTTCTTGACGATGTAAACTTTTCCTTAGAATAATCAGGAAATAGCTTTATTTGAGATGGGTTGGGGAATGGTAACCATTGGATACTTTCAAACAATACTTCAGGGGCATTCTCAGAGGAATGATGCCTGCCCATCAACAGCAATTTTGGACAGGGATGCTACCAGAGGCAAACCTCTTCCCACAATCCTTTTGAAGTGAACCTGTACCCTCTGAAAAAAAGGTTCATTAACCTGTGCGCCTAGTAGTAAAAGGAGTGGAACAGAGACAGATAATTATTTTCGTGACCTGACAAATGCGCGCACGACAAAAGTGCACCGACAAAACTGTGCCGAGAAAACCGCGATGTCATAAACGTGCCCACAACAATGCGCCGACAAAACCGCACCCACAAAAGCGTGATTTAAGTTAAGGTAAGGGTTAGGGTTAGGGTTAGGGTTAGGTTCAGGTTCAGGTTCAGGGTTGGGTTCAGGGTTGGGTTCAGGGTTGGGTTCAGGGTTGGGTTCAGGGTTGGGTTCAGGGTTGGGTTCAGGGTTGGGTTCAGGGTTGGGTTCAGGGT